TCTGTCTCTCTCTCACACTCTCTGTCTCTCTATGTCTGTCTCTCTCTCTATCACACTCTCTCTGACTCACACACACTCTGTCTCTCTCTTTCTCACCCTCTCTCTGACTCACTCTCTGTCTCTCTCTCACACTCTCTCTGTCTCTCTCTTACACTCTGTCTCTCTCTCACACTCACTCTCTCCGTCTCTCTCTCTCTCTCTCTGACTCTCTCCGTCTCACTCTCTCTCACTCTGACTCTCTTTCTCCGTCTCTCTTCCTCACACACACTCTCTGTCTCTTTCTCATACTCTCACTCTCTCTCTTTCTCACACTCTGTCTATTTCTCTCTCTGAATCTCTCTCTCTGTCTCTCTCACATACACTCTCTGTCTCTTTCTTTCTCACACTCTGTCTTTCTCTCTCAGACTCTGTCTCTTTCTCACTCTCTCTGACTCACTCACTCTCTCTGTCTCTCACACTCTTTCCGTCTCTCTCTGTCTCACACACACACACACACACACACTGTCTCACTCTCTCCCTCTCTTTGACTCTCTCTCTCTCTCTTCTGTCTCTCTCTCTGTCTCTCTTTTTTCTCTCTCACACTCTCTCTCACACTCTGTCTCTTTCTCACACACTCTCTCTCTGTATCTCTCTGTGTCTCTATCACACTTTCTCACAATCACACACTCTCACGCCGTCTCTCTCTCTGCCTCTCACACACTGTCCTTTCTGTCTCTCTGTCTTTTTTGTGAGAGGGAAAGAGTGAGGGGCAGAGTGAGAGAGAGTGAGACTGTGTGAGAGAGAGAGTGAGTGTGTGAGAAAGAGATAGAGAGAGACAATGTGTGTGAGAGACAGAGAGAGAGACGGAGAGAGAAAGAGAGAGTGAGTGTGAGAGAGAGACAGACAGAGAGAGTGAGAGAAAGAGAGAGAGGGTGGATGTGTGAGAGAGACAGAGAGAGAGAGTGTGTGTGAGAGAGAGAGAGAGGCAGAGAGAGAATGTGTGTGAGAGAGTGTGAGAAAGAAAGACAGAGAGGGAGTGAGAGAAAGAGAGACAGAGAGAGAGTGAGACACACAGAGAGAGTGAGACAGAGAGAGAGAGTGTGAGAGAGAGACAGAGAGAGAGAGAGGATGAGTATGTGAGAGAGAAAGAGAGAGGGAGGGAGAGAGAGAGTGAAGAGAGAAACAGAGAGTGTGTATGTGAGAGAGAGAGAGTGCGACAGTCTGTGAGAGAAAGAGACACAGAGAGAGAAGCAGAGAGAGTGTGAGAAAAAAGAGAGACAGAGAGAGAGAGTGAGTGTGAGAAAGAAAGAGACAGTGAGATAGTGTGTGAGAAAGAGACAGAGAGTGTGAGAGAGAAAAAAGAGAGACAGACAGAGAGAGAGAGATGGAGAGAGAGAGATTGAGTCAAAGAGAGGGAGAGAGTGAGACAGTGTGTGTGTGTGAGAGAGAGAGAGATGGAGAGAGTGTGAGAGAGAGAGAGAGACGGAAAGAGTGTGAGAGAGAAAGAGTGAGGGATAGAGTGAGAGAGAGAGAGAGAGAGAGAGAATGTGTGAGAGAGAGAGTGAGACAGTGTGTGAGAGAGAGTGTGTGAGAGAGAGACGGAGAGAGTGTGAGAGAAAGAGTGAGGGATAGAGTAAGACAGAGAGAGAGAATATGTGAGAGAGAGACACAGAGAGAGAGTGAGATTGTGTGTGAGAGAAAGAGAGAGAGTGAGTGAGAGAAAGAGTGAGGGACAGAGTGAGAGAGAGTGAGACTGTGTGAGAGAGAGAGTGAGTGTGTGAGAAAGAGATAGAGAGAGACAATGTGTGTGAGAGAAAGAGAGATAGAGAGAGACAATGTGTGAGAGAGAAAGAGAGAGAGACAGACAGAGAGAGAGTGAGAACGAGAGAGAGGGTGGATGTGTGAGAGAGAGACAGAGAGAGAGAGTGTGTGTGAAAGAGAGAGACAGAGAGAGAGGGACATAGAGAGAGTGTGGGAGTGAAAGAGAGACAGAGAGAGAGTGTGTGTGAGAGAGAGTGTGAGAAAGAAAGACAGAGAGAGGGAGTGAGAGAGAAAGAGAGACAGACAGAGAGAGTGATACACAGAGAGAGAGAGTGAGACAGAGAGGAGAGAGTGTGAGAGAGAGACAGAGAGAGAGAGAGAGAATGAGTATGTGAGAGAGAAAGAGACAGAGAGGGAGAGAGAGAGTGAAGAGAGAAACAGTGTGTGTGTGAGAGAGAGAGAGAATGCGACAGTCTGTGAGAGAAAGAGACAGAGAGAGAGAAGCAGAGAGAGTGTGAGAAAAAAAAAGAAGGCAGAGACAGTGTGAGTGTGAGAGAGACAGTGAGAGTGTGATAGACAGAGACAGTGTGAGACAGAGTGAGTGAGTCAGAGTGTGAGAAAGAGACAGAAAGAGTGAGACAGTCAGAGAGAGAGACAGAGTGTGTGAGAAAGAGTCAGAGAGACAGTGTGTGAGAGATGGAGAGTGAGTGTGTGTGTGTGTGAGACATAGAGAGACAGTGTGTGTGAAAGAGAGATCAGAGAGTGTCAGAGAGTATAAGGAAGAGAGACAGAGATTGTGAGAGACAGTGTGTGAGATCAGAGACGGAGTCAGAGAGAGAGACGGAGAGTGTGTGAGAGAGAAACAGAGAGAGAAAGAGACTGAGTGTGAGACAGTGAGAACAGTGTATGAGTGTGAGAGATGGAGTGACAGTGAGTGTGTGAGAGCAAAAAAGACAGAGTGTGAGAGTGAGAAAGAGACAGAGTGTGAGAGGCAGAGTGAGATAGTGTGTGAGAGTGTGTGTGTGGCAGTGAGTGTATGTGAGAATGTGTGTAAGTGTGTGAGTGTGATAGACAAGAGTGTGAGAGAGTTGGGAGTGTGAGAGTGAGAAAGAGACAGAGTGAAACAGTGTGTGAGACAGAGTGAGTGTGTGAGAGTCAAGAGACAGAGACATGGAGAGAGTGAGACAGTGTATGTGAGAGACAGTGTGCGTGAGAGAGACCGACAGAGTGAGGTAGAGAGAGACAGTGTGAGAGAGCGTGAGAAAGAGACAGTGTGTGAGAGGCAGAGGAGTGAGACAGTGTGTGAGAAAGAGAGACAGTGTGAGAGTGAGATAGAGTCTGTGTGAGCGAGTGTGAGCGAGACAGACTGTATGAGAGACAGGGAGAGAGAGCGTGTGAGAGACAGAGACGGAGACAGAGTGAGTGTGAGACAGTGTGTGAGAGACAGAGACAGTGTGTCTGAGATAGTGTGAGAGTGAGAGAGAACGAGAGACAGTGTGTGAGAGATGGAGAGTCAAAGAGAGACAGTGTATGTGAGACGGAGTGTGAGACAGAGAAAGAGTGTGAGAGACAAAGTGTGTGACAGTGTGAGTGTGTGTGAGACAGAGATAGTGTGTGAGACAGTGTGAGAGAGAGACAGAGTGTGAGAGAGAGACAGAGAGTGAGACGGAGAGACAGTGTGAAAGATAGTGAGACAATGTGAGAGACAGAGAGAAATGGAGTGTGTGACAGTGAGTGTGAGTGACAGAGTGTGAGATTGTGTGAGAGTGTGTCAGACAAGTGTGAGAAAGTGTGTGTGAGGCAGAGTGAGTAAGACAGTGAGTGTGTGAGATACTGTGTGAGAGACTGTGAGACAGTGTGAGAGAAACAGTGTGTGAGACAGTGAGAGTGTGTGAGAGATGGAGTGTGAGTGTGTGAGAGAGACAGTGTGAGAGACAGAGAGACTGTGAGAAAGAGAGACAGAGAGAATGAGAGTGTGTGAGAGAGACAGAGAGAGAGAAAGTGTGTGAGAGAGAGAGGGTAACCCTAAAAGACCCTCCTCTCCTCTTGGACTGTGCTTAGGGTCACCTTCTTATCTTCCACTCCTGATCCCAACCACCTTTTCAGGTCCAAATCCCGGACTGTCAGCGCCTTCGGATGTCCTCCCGATGTGAAACAAACTGTGTAAAAGTCATTTGTTATTGCTGTCTGTGCGTCTGAGTATGTGTCAGTATGTGTGTGTGTGTGTCAGTGTGTGTATGTGTGTCAGTATGTGTGTGTCAGTGTGTGTGTCAGTGTGTATCAGTGTGTGTGTCAGTGTGTGTGTGTCAGTGTGTGTGTGTCAGTATGTGTATCAGTGTGTGTGTGTATCAGTGTGTGGGTCTGTGTCAGGTGTGTGTATCAGTGTGTGTGTGTGTCAGTGTGTGTGTGTGTGTCAGTGTGTGTGTGTCAGTGTGTGTCTGTGTGTGTACGTGTCTGTGTGTCTCTCTCTGCACCTTTTTCATCTCAGGATGTCTCAAAGCGCTTTGCTTTGATACACTGTAAAGTGTATTGACTGCATTTTGTATGTGAAAAGTGGCAGCCAATTGTGCACCAATTGTGCAAACAGTTGTGGATTGAGTGACCAAATTATTATTATTTATTTATCTGAAGGGATTATTATCCCGGAAAGCAATCCGCCAATCGACTAACCAATCGGGTTCCTTCTTACTGTAGCTCAGTGGTTAGAGCATTCATCTCACAAGTGAGAGGACCTGGGTTTGATTCCCGAGCAGGGAGAAACTTTGGGCAAGTTTCCTTACTCCGCACACCTCTGTTTACCTAGTAGTAAGTAGGAACCCGGCTGTTAGTCGATTGGGGATCGCTTTTCCGGGGGTAATAATTCACTTCAATCCGCGACTATTTGTGGGACACTACTATGCACAATTGGCTGCTGTGTTTCGCCCACAAAATCAATTTACTTTAATTCACTTTAAAATATATTCTGTGAAGCACTTTGAGACATCTCAAAGAAGTGATAATGTGCTATATAAAATGCAAGTATTATTATTACTGCTAGATAAACAGAGGTGCGTGTGTGGAATTAGGAAACTTGCCTAAGGTTTCTCCCTGCCCGGGCATCAAACCCAGGTCCTCTCACTTATGAGGTGAGTGCTCCAACCACTCAGCTACAGGATTCCACAAATTGAGAGTGAGAAAGAGGGAAAGATAGACTGGGAGAGAGAGACTGGGAGAGAGAGCATTCCATTCCAACAATCTCTCTCTGGGATTTCCATGTGTGGGTGGGATATGGGAAATTTTCTCAGTTTCTCTCTGTCTTTCTGTCTTTTGGGAGTGTAAATCAATGCTGGGGATGTGATGATGGGGCGCGAGAGAGTGAGAGAGAGGGGGGGACAAGGGGAAAGATATGGGCAAAAGAGGGAGAGAGAGAGGTGAGAGAACAGGGGAGAGAGAGGGCGAGAGTGAGTGGGGGGTTGGGGGAGACAGGGAGAGAGGAAGGGAGAGAGAGGGTTATGATCTCTTTAGTTCCTGGGCTGGGGGGTTGGGCTGATGGCTGCCCCCCTGACAGTTGACATGAGGTGGGATTTGTAGGTTTTGCTCAGTCCTGTCATCCAGAACTTGAGCAGTTTGATGTTGTCCTCGTCTGTGGCTCCCAACACGGCCAGTAATGTGTGCGAGTGCTCCTTCCCTCGCCTGTCAACCTTGCTGAACTTGAAGAGAACTTTAACCTTTCTGTGGGGCAGAGAGAGAAAAAGAGTGTCAGAAGGCACTCATTATACTGTATTTATGTTACAGTAAAACTTGTGAAACCAGCGACTTTGTGAAATCCCTGAAATTTTCTGTAAAATTGTCAAACCATCAGATCATTGATAAGCTGGCGTTGACACTTTCGCATTATCAACACATAAATAACACATTATGTAAAATGAATATTGCTGTGTATGTACTTATCTCAGTCTCTCTCTGACTGTCTGTGTCTCAGTCGCTCACAACAACTACTTGCATTTATATATCATCCTCCACGAGGGCAATGTCTCAGAGCTTAACAGTGGCGGAGCCTGACTCTGAGCTGGGTGGGATGGTGTTAGAGTGGGGGGAGGTGGCCATAAGCACGGTCAAAGAGGAAGGTTTTCAGGTGGAACTTGAAAAAGGGGAGAGAGGGGGCAAGGCGGAGGGATTGAGGGAGAGGGTTCCAGAGTTTGGGGGCGCAGTGGCTGAAATCGCGACCTCCGATGGTGGGGCAGAGGGTGTGAGGGATGAGCAGGAACCTGTCCAAGTCGAGCGGAGGCTCCGGGTGGTGTATTGTGGAGTGAGGAGGTTGGAGAGTGAGGGAGTGAGGGAGGGAGGGGCCAGGGAGGGAAGGGATTTGAACATGAGAGTGAGGATCTTGAAGTCGATCTGTTTGGTGATGGGGAGCCACTGAAGCCTGGGCCAGAGCTGGTGAGATGTGGACGTGGAGTTTGGGCGGTATGTGGGTGTCAGTATGCGGGCGCCAGAGTCTGAATGAGCTGAATGGTGGAGTTGGGGAGCCCGGCGAGGAGTGCGTTGGAGTAATCTTACAGTCTCTCAGTCTGTGTCTCACTCAGTCTCTCTCTCTCTTTCTCTCTCTCACACTCAGTGTTTCTCACAGTCTCTCTCGCACTCTCTGTCGCTCCCTCTCACTGTCTCTGTCACTTTCTCACTTCATCACGCACACAAAATAATAATCCTGCATTTCATACAATGTCTCACCATGTAGTTGAGACGTCTCAAAACACTTCACAGGGATATACACAGTAAAGTGTAGTGACTGACTACAGAGACAGAGTGTGACTGACAAGAGCGAGAGAGAGAGAGAGAGAGACACTGAGAGAAAGAAACAGAAAGACTGAGGTTCTCTCCCTCTCATTTTCACTCTCTTGTCTCGCACTCTCTCTCTCATTCTCTCTCTCTCTCAGTCTCTCTCTCCCTCATTGCTCTCTCTCCCTCATGCTCTCACACATTCTCTCACTCACACACTAAACAATAATCATATCCCTGCATTGGATTTAGAGCCTTATCACGTCTTTGAGACGTCTCAAAATGCTTCACAGGTTATTCCGTAAAGTGTAGTGACTGTGTGTTTTATGGGTGAAGCGCGGCAGCCATTTGCACACAGCGACTTCCCCACAGTCATGGATTGAAGGACCAGATTTTTTTATTTTTAAGAAATTTTTATCCGGGAAAGCGAATGCCAATTGACTAACAAGCGGGTTCCTACTTACTGCTGGTAAACACAGAGGAAGGAAACTTGATACACAAACACACAGACACATACTGACACGCACTTACTTCATCCACTCCTCCTTCAGGCAGATCAGACACTGACTGACGACGTCCAGTGACAGACTCTCGTTCTGTAAAGCAGCCTCGAGCTTCGTCAATATAGTTGGTCCTGAGAGAGAGACAGAGAGACTGAGAGAGAGACTGAGAGAGAGACAGAGAGCCTGAGGGAGAGAGACACAGAGAGAGAGACTGAGTGAGAGATAGACTGTGAGAGAGACTGAGTGAGAGAGACTGAGAGAGACAGACAGACTGAGAGAGAAATACACAGAGAGAGACTGAGAGAGAGACACAGAGAGAGAGAGAGACAGAGAGAGAGACACCCAGAGAGAGACTGAAGAGAGAGACACAGAGAGAGAGATACTGAGTGAAAGAGATAGACAGAGAGATAGGGAAACAGAGAGACTGAGATGCAGAGAGAGGACAGACAGAGAGAGAGACAACACAGAGGAAGACTGAGACCGAAGAGAGAGAGAGAGAGATTGAGAGAGACAGAGAGAGAAAGAGACAGAGAGAGAGACAGAGAGAGAGATTAAGATCGAGATTGAGAAAGAGAGATAGAAAGACAGACAGAGGGAGAGATTCAGAGAGAGAGAGACAGAGAATGATGAGACAGAGACTGCGCTGTTTACCTCTGTCTGTGTTAACTGTTGTGGCACTGGTCACCGTAAATTGGTATTTACTGAATCTGAGATCAGCCCAGAGCGGTCTGATGGCCTGGCATCAACTAACACACAGAACTCTACAAACAGAAGAGAGAGAGACTCAGATAGGATGAGAGACTGAGAAAGACTGAGAGAGAGAGAGAGAGAGAGAGACACTGTGGAGAGAGAGAGAGAGACCGAGGGAGAGAGAGAGGGAGACACTGTGAGAGACTGAGAGTGAATCTAAGAGAGAGAGAGAGAGAGAGACTGAGAGTGAGACAGAGAGAGACTGAGAGAGGGGAGGGGGAGACAATATGAGAGAAACAACAACCAAATTACATTTGTACAGTGCCTGCCATGTCGGGAGGACGTCCCCAGGTGCTGGACTATCAGTGTTTCGGACCCGAGCTGGGTGTCGGAATCAGGGAGGGTGGAGGGCAGGGGGGGAAGGAGGCGGGGGACGTGAAGCCGGCCATAGCCCGCTGAATGGAGGGAGCGAGCAGGATAGTAGGGGGTCGCAGAGTTCGGGGGGAGCAAGACCATGGAGGGCTTTGAACATGAGGACCAGGATTTTGAACTGTATCCTCTGTGTGATGGGGAGCCAGTGGAGTCGGGTGAGGATGGGAGTGATGGTGTCAGGGAGCCTGGTGCAGGAGAGGACACGAGCTGCAGAGTTAGTTCTGGATGATCTGCAGCCTGTGGAGGGAAGAGTTGGGGAGGCCGACAAGCAGGGAGTTGGCATAGTTAAGCCTGGTTGTAATGAAGGCATGTGTGAGGGTCTCGGGGGCTGCGGTGTGAGACAGTGGTGGAGCCAGGCGATGTTGTGGAGGTGGGGAGGGCAGAGCGGGTCATGGCGCAGATGTGGGGTAGAAAGGATAGTTGAGGGTCAAACAACAACAACAACTTGGATTGCCGGACGGCGTCTCAGAGCGCCTCACAGTAATGGATCCCGGTGCTGAACCGGGGGCGGAGGGGGGAGGTGACCAAAGGCGCGGTTGAAAAGAAAGGTCTTCACCCGAGACCTGAAAATAGGAAGGGAGGGAGCGAGGTGAAGGGAGTGAGGAAGAGATTCCAGAGCCTCGGGGCGCAGTGGCTGAAGGCACAGCCGCGCAGGGTGGAGCGGAGGACTTGGGGGACGAGGAGGAGGTCAGACCCGTAGGATTGAAGGCAACGGGTATTGTTTTCAGGAGAGAGGAGGTCAGAGAGGTCGGGTGGGTGCAGAGGAGTGGAGGGATTTGAAGACAAGGGTGAGGATCTTGAAGTGGATCCTCTCTGGGACAGGAGCCAGTGCAGTTTGGCCAGGACTGGGGGGATCGGGGAGCGGAGATTGGTGCGGGTGAGAATGTGGGCGGCAGAGTTTTGTATGACCTGGATTTTATGGATGGTGGTGGAGGTGGAAAAATAGAGTTGGTTATCGTCCGCATACGTGTGGAAGTGTAATAATAATAATAATCCTTGCATTTGATATAGCGCTTTTCACGTCTTCTCAACGTCTCAAAGCGCTTCACAGAATATACTGTAAAGTAAATTGACTGTATATTTGTGGGCGAACGCAGCAGCCAATTGCGCACAGCAATGTCCCACAAACAGTTGTAGATTGAAAATGACCAATTTTTTATTATTGTTTTTGTTTTGGAGGATTATTATTAGGCTCTGTGTGGAGTAAGGAAACTTGCCCAAGGTTTGGCCCTCTGCCTGGAATTGAACTCAGGTCTCTCACTTACAAAGCGAGTGCTCTAACCACTGAGCTACAGGACTCCACAGTACCCCATGTCTGCGGATGACATCCCCAAGAGGGAGCATATAGATCAGAAACAAGACCCCAGTTTGCAGCCATGGATGGTGATGCTGTCAGCGCCTGAGGTGAGGAGGCGCTGACGAGAGCCAATCAGGAGCCTCGGTCTTGTTGACGTTCAACTGAAGAAAGTTTCCCCTCATCCAGGACTTGATGTCTGACAGACATTCTGTCAGCACAGCAATGAGGTCTGGAGTCAAGGGTGGGGGCAGAGAGAGAGTTGGGTGTCATCCACATACATGTGGAAGTTGACCCCATGTCTGTGGATGATGTTACCAAGAGGGAGTGTGCAGATATTTAAGAGGAGGGGACCAAGGACGAGACGGTGCGGGGTTAGAGGAGAAACTTAGTGGAGATGAAGTGCAGGTGGTGTGTGAGGTATGATCTGAACCATTCTAGCCATACAAGAAAGAATATGAGACAGACTGAGAGAGGGACTGTGAGTGTGAGACACTGAAAGAGAAAGAGACTGAAACAGAGACCGAAAGAGACAGAGACATAGACAGAGAAAGACCGAAAGAGAGGGAGAGAGACCTCTGATGGATGGATTCAGTTGTGAAAGGGAGATGGAGAGACTTGGGAAAGTCAGGGGATGGATTGAGGGGTGAGAGGCAGATGGACAAAGAGAGAGAGCTTCACCCATGTCTAGGGGTGACACGTACCTGAGGACAGGATGTGAGCTGGGAGTTTTACCGTTGATTTAATACCCAGAAAATTACAACGATAAGTTTCTTCATAGCAGTCACTGTATGCTATTATACGCACACACCCAACGGGTAGCATAGTCTGGAGACAGATATACAGAGTAAAGCTCCCTCTACACTCCCAGATCAGGGTTAGAGACATGCATATGCTTGTGTGTGAGTGTGTACGTGTAAGCGTGTAGGTGCGTGTGGAAGTGAGTGAGTCTCACCATGAGCACACCGATGCCGATGAGGATGGCTGTGTGCGTGTGTAACTATGTGAGTGAGTGTGAGACTCACTGAGAGCACACTGCTTCCATCCTCACCTCTAACGTCAAAGTAGGCCTGGATTCTTCGTGTCAAAGATCGAAAATATCTGCTTGGCTGCATCATCCTTGCCCCTCCGCCCCCAACCCCGAATATTCCCTCCCACCCCACCCAGACCATCCACACCGCCTTTTCTCTCCGCCACAGCTCCTGCCACTACCCCCTTCCTACCATTCCTTTGCCCCAATTACTTCGCCCTCCCTCTCAACCCCATCTCCCAGATGAAGCCCACCACCTTCCGCTCTGTCCATCGCACAGCGACAGAGCTTGACAAGGTCACCAATGATGTTCTCTCCCTCTGCCTCCTCATTCTCCTGGACCTCACCACCGTGTTTAACAGTCGACCTTGCCATCCTCCTCCACCGTCTCTCTTCCCTCATCCACCTCAGTGGGACCGCACTGGTCTGCTTCAAGCCCTACTTAACAAACTGCCTTCACTTTATTGTCTCAAATGGCTTCGTCTTCTGCCCCGCTCAGTCACCTGCAGGGTACCCCAAGGCTCCATCCTTGGCCTCCTCCTCTTCCTCATCTATTTGCTCCCTCTCGGCGATATCATCCGCAGACATGGGGTAAACTTCAACATGTATGCGGATAACACCCAAATCTACTACTCCTCCTCCAGCTGCAACTCCAGCTCCGCCGATGTTCTCTCTGCTTGTTTGGCAGACATCAGGGCCTGGATGAGCGAAAACTTCCTACAACTCAAATGTTGACAAGATGGAAGCCATAAACATTGACTCCCACCAACGTCTTCTATCTTGTGGCTCTGACCTCCTCAACCTCCCTGGCCCATCCCTCAAACTTAACCGTCAGTGCGTAACTTAGTCGTCAGGTGTGACTCCCAACTGCCTTCCTTCCCCACATCCAGTCCCTGACCAGGACCGCCTTCCTCCACCTCTGCCACATTGCCCGCCTCTAACCGTACCTGACCCCAGAAGCAGCCGAAACACTCGTCCATGTGTTCATCACCTCCCACCTTGACTTCTCAAATACCCTCTTTCCCGTTCTCCCAGCTCCACCATGTACAGGATCCAGCTGATCCCAAACTCCGCTGCCCACATACTAAACTCCGTCACATACTAAACTCCCCACTGCCCTAAACTCCATCCCCCCATCACATCAGCTCTAGCCGGGCTCCATTGGATCCCTATCCCCAAACGGATCGATTTCAAGATCCTCACACTAGTTTTTATGCCCTGGCACCTCCTACCTCTCCCACATGCTCACCCCCCCCCAACCCACTACCCGCTGCCTCCACTCCACTGACTCCAGCTGCTGGACGTCCCTGGTGCCCTCTGTTGCACCATTAGCAGCCAATATGCTCCAAAACTCTGGAACCCTCTCCCTGTAACTCTCCGTTTTGTCCCTTCCTTCCCCATCTTCAGGTCGAATCTGTGGACCTTCCTCTTTGACTGTTAGGCACCTGGCCACCCCCCTCCCCCTCCCCTGGGCTCAGCGTCGTGCTCCACCACCGTCAGGCGCTCTGGGATGCTGAGTGTGTGAGCGTGCGGTGTGAATGCAAGTTGTTGAGTTGATGCCGGTGTGGATGATGCTATGTGAGTGTATAAGTGTAAATGTGTGCGTGTGTAAGTGTGTGTGTGAGTGTGAGACTCACTGAGAGCACACGGATGCCAGTGTGTACGATGGCCATGTTGTCTCCTCTCCAGATCACTTGGTTTCCCATCAGCACATTCCAGGCCAGAACTCGGAACTGGCTCACACCCAGCACCTAGTATGAGAGTTACATACACACTTAATACCTTACACACGTCTCACACACAGTGTAACACACACACAGCACCTCAGGCGCTGACAGCATCAGCATCCAAGGCTGCACTCTCCACCTCTCAAAGCCGGTCAGGAACCTCGGCGTTCTGTTCGACCCTGAGCTGTCCTTTCTCCCTCATATCCGCGCCACAACTGGCACCGCCTTCCATCACCTCCGGAATATCGTACTACCTCACCCCTCACGCTGCTGAAACTCTGGTCCACGCCTTTATCACCTCAAGGCTGTACTATGGGAACTCTCTCCTCGCCGGCCTTCCCGGCCCTCCCTCCACACTGCAGGTCATTCAGAACTCTGCCGCTCGTGTACTGTCCCACACCAGTGACCACATCACTCCCACCCTCACCCTCGCCCTCACCCTCGCCCTCGCTCCCCTCCACTGGCTCCCCATCCCTTAGAGGATCGATTTCAAGATCCTCATCCTCACCTACAAGGCCATTCATGGCCTCGCTCCCTCCTACTGCTCCGACCTACTATCCCCCTACCTACCTGCCAGTACCCTCCGTTCCTCTGGCTCCGGTCTGCTCCACATCCCCCGCCCCAACCGCCCTACCATCGGTGGCCTTCAGCCTCTCAGCCCCGAGGCTCTGCAACTCTATCCCCAGTGCCTTCGCCGCTTCCTCCCTTTCCTCCTTCAAGGCCGGTCTCAAGACCTTTCTCTTTGACCTTCAGCTCCCCTCTCGACTCTCTACCCCCTCCTCGGCCCCTCCCTTCCCTCCCCTCACCCTGACCATTTCCCCCCTCCTCGCCCCCTCCCTTCCCTCCCCTCACCCTGACCATTTCCCCCCTGCTCGTCGTCCTGACCCAACTGTACAGCGCCTTGGGACGTCCTCCCGACGTGAAAGGCGCTCTATAAATGGAATCTTGTTGTTGTTGAAAACACACACAAGCACAGGGGACCTTATACATATACACAATATACTCACAGCCCAGCATCTTACACACACACAGAGTCAATGTCAGACACAGCACCTTACACATGCACCAACATTAGCCTGAGACACACTCACAGCTAGCGAGACACATGCAGAGTGAGAGACGTACGCACTGAGACACATGTCCAGTCTGAGGCACACTCACAGCGAGTGAGAATCATGCAGAGCGAGTGTGAGGGTGGGATAGATAAAGCGAGTGTGTGAGGAAGTGCAAGCAAGTGTTCAAGACAGAGAAAGTGTGAAGCACGCTCACAGCAATTTTGAGATGCATGGGAGCAAGTGAGGTCAGAGAGCGAGTAATGTGCAGGTGAATGTGCAAGACGTGTGGAGCGAGCATGAGGTTGAGATAGTGAGAGTGTGTGAGCAAGTGTGCGAGATGTGTGAAGCAAACGAGGGCTGAGGCAGAATGAGTACGTGGGCGAGCGAGTGTGTGAGACGTGGACTTGTGAGGGTGAGGCAGAGTGAGCAAATGTGTGAGTGAGTGTTCACTAACCTGCCGCATGTGCCTCAGGGAGGTGAACCCCTGTTGGGGGCTGGTGCTTGTTGCCCAAGGTGCATGTGGGGGATGTGAACTCACACTCAGGGAGCCATGTACACTCGCCCCCACACCCCAGCTCTGCCTCTCCTCCTCTTCCTGCTCTGTGACACAACACAGGAGGTTACAGACTCACTCACACACTTGCTCAGAATCACACACACGCCTGCACTCACACATAGACACACACATACAGGCAGACGCACGCACATTAAATATACACACACAGATATATACACAGACACATACAGACACACACACATACAGACACACAAGTGCACAGAGACACTCACACAAGAGACAGACACACACACAGACACACACACAGACATACACACACACACACAGTGACACAAGACAAACACACACAGAGACTCACACAAGAGGCACACACACACACAAACACACATAGACACACAGACACATAGACACATAGACACTCAAACAGAGACAATCACACACACAAACTGAGTCACATACAGACACATAAATAGAGACAGAACTCACAAACACAAACACATATGCAGACATTCACACACACACAGACATTCATACAGACATACACACTCACACAGACAGACACGCACAGAAACACACACAAACACATAGACATACTCAATAACAACAACAAAATGACATTTATAGAGCGCCTTTCACGTCGGAAGGACGTCCCAAGGCGCTGGACAGTCAGAGGTCAGCACCCGAGAGTGGGGGATTGGTGGGGGAGGGGGGCAGGGGTTGTGTAGGGGTGAGGGAAGGTGGGACTGAAGACATGATCGAAGAGGAGGGTCTTGAGACCGGCCTTGAAGGAGGTGAGGGAGGAAGCGAGGCGAAGCGACCATGGGATGGAGTTCCAGAGTGTGGGGGCAGAGAGGCTGAAAGCCCGGCCACCGATGGTGGGGGGGGTCGGGCGGGAGACATGGAGCAGGTCAGAGCCCGATGAACGGCGGGAGCGGGCAGGTTGGTAGGGAGTCAGCAGATCAGAGAGGTAGGAGGGGGCGAGGCCATGGATGGCCTTAAAGGTGAGGACGAGGATCTTGAACTCAGTCCTCTGGCGGATGGGGAGTCACGGGTCGGGCGAGGGTGGGAGTGAACGGCACGGGCGAGGGTGGGAGTGATGGGGACGGGGAGTCTGGTGAGAGTACACGAGCTGCAGAGATTTGGATGATCTGCAGCTTGTGAAGTTGGGAAGACCGATGAGGAGAGAGTTCCCATAATCCAACCCTGATGACTAAGTGGGTGAAGGTTTCAGCAACCTGAGGGGTGCCCGAGATGCGGAGGCGCTGGCGCGAGCCAATCAAGAGAGCCTCATGAAGGACTTGATGTCGGACAGGCAGTCGGTCAGGACCTCAGTAGTCCTGGAGTTCAGGGTGGAGGCAGAGGTAGAGTTGGGTGTCATCTGCATACAAGTAGAAATTTACCCCATGTCTGCAGATGATGTCACCAAGAGGGAGCATGAAGAGAGTGAAGAGGAAGGGACTGAGGACAAAGCCCTGAGGAACACCGTACGAGACGGTGCGGGGGCTGGAGGAGAAGTCGTTTGTTGGGATGAAGTGGAGGTGGTGTGAAAGACCTGAACCAGTCAAGGACAGAACCTTGGAGGTTGAGGTGGGAGGAGAGGCGGTGGAGGAGGATTGAGTGGTCCACGGTGTCAAAGGCTGTGAGGTCGAGGAGGACGAGGAGGCAGAGGGAGCCCTGGTCACACTGGTCAGGATGTCGTTTGTGACCTTGACCAGAGCTGTGGGTAGCACGGAAACCCGATTGGAGGGGCTCATGGAGGGAGGAGAGGAAAGAGCGAATCTGGGAGCCGATGCCTCGCTCAAGGACCTTAGACAGAAAAGAGAGGTTTAAGATGGGCCGGTAGCTGGATAGCTGTGATGGGTCAACGGAAGGTTTCTTGAAGGTGGGGGTGATGATGGCTGTTTTGAGGGGGGATGACAGGGAGAAATTGATGATATCGGTGAGTAGTGGGGCAAGGAGGTGGAGTTGGGATTTAAGGAGAGGGGTGGGGATGGGGTCCAGGGAGCAGGTGGTGAGCTTCATGGAGGATATGGTGGTGATGACAGAGGAGGAGGTGACAGGGTCAAAGGTGTGGAAGGAGGGATGGGTAGTGGTTGGAGTGTGGTGGGGGTAGGGAGGGGGTGGAAGTTGAGAGGGCAGTGGCAGCTGAGCGGATTCCCTCGATTTTGGACTCGAGGAAGTCCAGCATTTCCTCGCAGTGGGAGTCAAAGGAAAGAATCTGCGAGGTGTGGCAGGAGGGCGGAGGAGCCGGTTAGTGATGGAGAACAAGAGCCTGAGGTTGCCCTTCGCCTCCAGGATTAACCTGGAATAGAAGGACGATTTGGCTGAGGCGAGTGTGGAGCAGTGGGTTTTGATGAAGTCCAGCCAGATGTGCCGGTGGACCGTTAGGCCGGATTTGAGCCAAGTGTGTTTGGCTGCCCGCACCTGGCCCTTGAGCGAGTGGAGGTGGCTGGTGAACCAGGGTGAGGATTGGAAATAGGAGACCGTTTGGGAGGGAGGGGGGCAAGGACGTCGAGTGTGGTGGAGAGGGTGCTGTGGAGAAGAGTGAGCGCAGCAAGTGGGTTGGTGCAAGAGGTGGGCCAGAGGGGGAGGAGTTCAGAGGATTTCAGGGCAGCGGAGAGAGATTGTGGGGAAATCTTCTTCCATGGGTGGTAGAAGTTGGTGGTAGGTTTGGAGGCAGCGGGGAGAGGGATATGGGAGTTGAGGGAGATTAACTGGTGGTCAGAGATGGTCTTGTCGGTGATGGTGACATCCAAGATGCTGAGGCCCTGGGTGATCACCAGGTCGAGCGGGTGAACGTGGGTGTGGGTAGCAGAGTGGATGTAGAGGGAGAGTTGAGAGAGGAGAGAGGAGAAGTCTAAGGAGATGGAGCAAGAGGGGCTGAAGTGGAGGTTGAAGTGGCCGAGGATGATGAGGCGGTCGGAGCAGAGGCAGAGGGAAGCAAAGAGTGTGGAGATGTCAGAGGTGAAGGTGGGGGAGGATTTGGGGGGTGGTAAATTAGGAGGATTTTCAGAGAGACGTGGGAAGGATGGCAGAGGGTAAGGTGTTAAAAAGAGGGGAACAGCCGGTGGAGTAGGGGGACAGGGCAAGTGAGACCCTGGAGATGAGGGCCACACCACCGCCACGACGGTTGGGGTGTGGGGCATGGTGGTAGGTGTAGCCGGGTGATGTGGCCTCAGTGAGGGGGAAGGTGTCACCAGGGTGATCCAGGTTTCCGTGAGGGCCATAATGGCAATGTTCTCGTCGAGGGTCTTGTTGCAGATGGAGCAGACGTTTTGAAGGCCAATGCGGAGTGGGCAGTTGGCAGGGGGATGTGTGGGATGGGAGGGGGTAGTAGGTTGGTTGGCAGGGAGGGTGGGGATGTGGTTGAAGGAGGAGAGGTTAGCCTCCGGGGTCAGAGTCCGGGGTGGCTTGCGGGGATAGTGGGGAATGAAGCAGTCGGTGTGGCTGCTGCTGGACAGCCAGGGCCGAGTACCGCGATGAGCCCGGGGGAGGATTCCCAGGCTGGAGCAGAGGAAGGCTGTAGGGGCGGAACAAGCAGAGATAGGAGGTGGGGAGGGCAGAGAGAGCAGGACAGAGCGGGAGAGTTGCAGGGAGGGGAGCATTTTGAGGGAGGGCCAGCTTGGGTCGGGGATGCGTTGGGATGAGAGGCGGGGGGGTAAGTGGGACATTGTCAGCCGGTGGGGGAGGCTGTGGGGGCTTAAGGTGGTGCAGAGGGGCTCATTGTGCTGAGGGGAAGGACAGGGGGGACAGACAGAGGGTGGGTGGGAGACCCACTCAGACACACACAAAAACACACAGACACAACACACACACAGATACAGACATTCACACACACACAGACACACAGACTCACACACACTCACAGACATACATACACATAGACACACAGACACACACACAAGAGACACACGCACCAAGGTAGACACACAGACAAACAGAGAGACACACACATACACACATAAATAGAGACACACACACAAACACACACATTGACACACACCTACACAGACACACAGTTACATACACAAGACAGACATGCAGACTTACACAGACACAGAGACGGACACACAAACACACGCAGACAACAACAACAAGATTGCATTTATAGAGCGCCTTTCAAGTCGGGAGGACGTCCCAAGCCGCTTGACAGTTGGGTCGGGACCCGAGGAGGGGGGAAATGTTCAGGGTGAGGGGAGGGAAGGGAGGGAGCGAGGAGGGGGGAGATTGTCACGGTGAGGGGAGGGAACGGAGGGAGCGAGGAGGGGGTAGGGAGTCGAGAGGGGAGCTGAAGGCTGAAGGTCAAAGAGAAAGGCCTTGAGACCGGCCTTGAAGGAGGAAAGGGAGGAAGCGGCGAAGGCACCGGGGGATGGAGTTCCAGAGCCTCGGGGCTGAGAGGCTGAAGGCCACCGATGGTCGGGCGGTTGGGGCGGGGGGTGTGGAGCAGACCGGAGCCAGAGGAACGGAGGGTACGGGGGGGTAGGTAGGGGGATAGTAGGTCAGGGAGGTAGGAGGGAGCGAGGCTGCGAATGGCCTTGTAGGTGAGGATGAGGATCTTGAATTCGATCCTCTGGGGGACGGGGAACCAGTGGAGGCGAGCGAGGGTGGGAGTGATGTAGTCACAAAGCCTGGTGCGGGACAGTATAGTCCGGCCTTGAGGTGATAAAGGTGTGGACCAGAATTTCAGCCGCGTGAGGGGTGAGGTAGTGCCGTAGTCTGGCCATGTTCCGGAGGTGATGGAAGGCGGTGCCAGTTGTGGCGCAGATGTGAGGGAGAAAGGACAGCTCAGGGTCGAACAGAACCCAGAGGTTCCTGATGGCTTTGAGAGGTGGAGAGTGCGGCCTTGGATGCTGATGCTGTCAGCGCTTGAGGTGCGGAGGCGCTGACGTGAGCCAATCAGGAGGGCCTCAGTTTTGTGCACGTTGAGCTGAAGAAAGTTCTCTCTCGTCCAGGACTCGATGTCGGACAGACAGCTGTCAGTACATCGGGGGTCGTGGAGTTGAGAGAGGAAAGAGCGCAGTTGGGAGGTGACAACGCTTTCAAGGACCTTGGACAGGAAGGGGAGGTTGGAGATGGGCCGGAGATTGATAACTGCGACGCATCAAGGGAGGGTTTTTTCAAAGTGGGAGTGATGGTGGCAGTTTTTAGGGGAATGGGAACAGAGCCACAGGAGAGGGACAAGTTGATGGTGTCTGTGAGAAGTGGGGCAAGGAGGTGGAGCTGAGAGATAAGGAGTGGAGTGGGGATGGGGTCCAGGGAGCAGGTGGTGGGTTTCAGGGATAGGATGAGTTTGGTGACAGAGGGTGGGGAAATGGATTCAAAGGTGTGTAGGGGAGGACGGGTAGGAGTCGGAGTGTGGGAGGGAGGGGGTGGGGGGCGGGTGGGGATCAGATTGTGGGAGGGAAGGGGTGGGTGGGAGTTGGAGGGGCAGTGACCGCGGAGCGGATTCCCTTGATTTTGGATTCAAGGAAATCCAGCCTCTCCTCGCAGTGAAGGTTGGAGGAGATGACCTGCGCGGGGTGGCGGGGGGGTCGGAGGAGTTGGGATGTGGTAGAGAACAGTAGCCTGGGGTTGTTCTTTGCCTCCAGGATTATCCTGGAGTAGAAGGACGACTTGGCCGAGGCTAGAGTGGAGCGGTAGGTTTTGAGGAGGTCCAGCAAGATTTGTTGGTGGACCGTTAGGCCAGATTTGAGGCAGGTGCGTTCAGGGCCCACACCTGGCTCTTCAGTGAGCGGAGGTGGGGGTGAACCAGGGGGAGGAGCGAGAGTAGGAGACAGTACGGGGGGTGATGGGGGCAAGAGTGTTGAGTGTGGAGGAGAGGGTGTTGTGGAGGAGGGTGAGAGCAGAAGAGGGGTCAGTGAGGGTTGAAGCCAGAGGGAGAGGAGTTCAGCGGACTCCAAGGCAGCGGTTAGGGATTGTGGGGGTCACTTCTTCCAGGGGCGGTAGAAGATGGTGATGGGAGGTGGAGGTGGGGAAGGGGGTGGTGGTGGGGAGGGGATGGAGGTGGAGAGTGGAGGTGGAGAAGGGGAGGGGAGTGGAAGAGGGGGTGGAGGTGGGTAGGGGGTTGGAGGAGGGGAGGTGGAGGTGGGAGGTGGAGGTGGGGAGGGATGTGGAGGTGGGGAGGGGGGTGGAGGAGGGGAGGGGGTGGAGGTGGGAGGTGGAGGAGGGGAGGGAGGTGGAGGAGGGGAGGGGGGTGGAGGTGGGGAGGGGGCTGGAGGTGGGGAGGGGGGTGGAGGAGGGGAGGGGGTTGGAGGTGGTGAAGGAGATGAAGTGGTGATCGGAGACGGCCATTGTCGGTAATGGTGACATCCGAGACACTGATGCCCCAGATGATCACCAAATCGAGTGGGGGCCGTGACTGTGAGTGGGGGAGTTGATGTGGAGGGTTGAGCGAGGAGAGGAGGGAGGAGAGGAGGGAGGAGAGGAGGGAGCAGAGCAGGAAGGAGAGGAGGGAGGAAGGAGGGAGGAGAGGAGGGAGGAGAAGTCCGAGGAGGTGGAGCAGGAGGGGGCGAAGTACAGGTTGAAGTCGCCCAGGATGATGAGGTGATCAGAGCAGAGGCAGAGACATGTTAGGAGGTGTCGGAGGTGAAGGTGGGGGAGGTTTTAGGGGGCCGTAGAGGAGGAGGATTTTGAGTCAGAGATGGGAAGGGTGGGAGAGGGTGAGGTGCTCAAAAGAGGGGAAAGAGCCAAGGAGTAGGGGGATAGGGCATACACCATCGCCACGGCGGTTGGGGCGAGGGATGTGGTGGGAGGTGTAGCCGGGTGGTGTGGCCTCCGTGAGGGGGAAGGTGTTGCCTGGGGTGAGCCAGGTTTCCGTTAAGGCCATGATATCAACGCTCCCATCAAGGATGAGATCGTTGATGACCAGGGCCTTGTTACAGAGGGAGCGGACGTTTTGTAGTCCGATGTGGAGGGAGCGGTTGACAGAATGGTGTGTGGAAGGGATACACATTCACACACACACAGACTCACATACACATGTAGACACACACACAGACACAAACGCACACACACACACAGACACACACACACACAGAGACACACACACACACAGACACAGAAACACACACACAGACACAAATGCACACAAAGACACTCACACAAGAGACACACAGTCACACATACAGACACATGCACACAGACTCACACACAAACAGAGACACACACAGACACACACAAATAGACACACACAAATAGAGAGACACATATAAACACAGATAGACACATACACACAGTCATACACAGACAGACATACAAAGACATACACGCACATAGACACACACACACACGCAGCCATACACACTCACACAGATACACACAGACACACAAACACACACATACACACTCACACAGACCCACAGATACACATAGACACACACAAATAGAGAGAAACACACACACACAAACAGAAACACATAGAAAGACACAAATAGAGACACAAACACAGACACGGACAGGGGAAGGAGACAAAGGGTGGGAGGGAGACCCAGGCTGACACAGATACACACACACAGACACACACACAGACTCACATACACTCACATACATACACACAGACACACACAGGTGCACACACAGACACATACGTGGACACCCACTCACAGACACGCAGATACTCACACTGACACACACACACAAACATCCACTCACGGACCCACTCACACACCCACCGGCACATACACACAGACACCCACTCACAGATACACACACAGACACAAACTCCAACACAAACAAACCTGCAAGTTTTTCCATCTGCACTAACGTGTCCTCAGTGGGCGCTCCCTCCAACAGTTTCTCTGTGACACGGCTTCCACACGCCTTCAACAGCCTGCGACGCAGGAACACACATGTCAGTCAGTCACACGCACACGACTTGCACATGGGTCCGACATGCGTGACGGTGAGACAGACTGAGTGAATGTGCGAGAAGCAGGCAAGTGTGCGAAACAGGTGGAGTGATTGTGTGAGATGCTCAGAGCGAGTGTGTGAGTGTGTCAGTCAGTCACACACACGTAAGTGTTAGGGATGGAGGGTAATGGTTGGAGGTGAGAGAGAGACTGAGAGACAGAGACAGAGATTGAGAGAGAGACTGAGGGAGAGACTGAGAAAGACAGATTGTGTGAGAGAGAGAGAGAGAGAGAGAGGAGAGAAACTGAGGGAGAGAGAGAGACTGAGAGACAGACTGAGCGATTGACTGAGAGGGAGACTGAGACAGAGAGAGAAACTAACAAAGAGAGACTGAGAGAGATAGACTGAGAGAGAGAGAGAGCGACTGAAAGAGAGTCAGAGAGAGAGAGATAGATAACAACACCAACAACAACAAATGACATGTGTATAGTGACTTTCACGTCAGGAGGACGTCCCAACGCATTGGACAGTCAATGTTTTGGACCCAAGCTGGGGGTCGGGGTCGGGGAGGGTGGAGGGCAGGGGGGGAAAGCAAGGAGATCAAAAGCACTGTCAAAGAGGAGGTTCTTGAGATGGGTCTTGAATGAGGCAAGGAAAGGGGCGAGGTGGAGGGACTGCGGAATGGAGTTCCAGAGGGTGGGGCAGGGTGACTGAAGGCCCACCCACCAATAGTGTGGGGGGTGGGGGGGTTGATGTGAGGGACGTAATGTTGTGGAGGTGGGGAAGGCAGAGCGGGTCATCGAATGGATGTGGGGTAGAAAGGATAGTTGAGGGTCAAAGAAGACCCCAAGGTTCGGGACTGGCTCAGCGAGGGGGAGTGAGCCCCAGGGATGGTGATGCTGTCAGCGCCTGAGGTGAGGAGGCGCTGACGAGAGCCAATCAGGAGCCTCGGTCTTGTTGACGTTCGACTGTAGAAAGTTTCCCCTCATCCAGGACTTGACGTCTGACAGACATTCTGTCAGCACAGCAATGAGGTCTGAAGTCAAGGGTGGGGGCAGAGAGAGAGTTGGGTGTCATCCACATACATGTGGACGTTGACTCCATGTCTGTGGATGATGGTCACCAAGAGGGAGCAAATAGATATTGAAGAGGAGGGGATAAAGGACAGAGCCTTGAGGAATGCCACACGAAACGATGCGGGAGCTGGAGGAGAAGACGTTTGAGAAGATGAAGTGGAGGCGGTGTGTGAGGTACGATGTGAACCAATCAAGGACAACGCTGTGAAGGTTGAGGTGAGAGGAGAGGCGGTGGAGGAGGATAGAGTGGTCAAAGGTATCGAAGGCAGCAGAGAGGTCGAGGACGAGAAGGCAGAGGGAGCTCTGATCGCAGATTGTCACTTTGACCAAGGCGGCTTCTATGCTGTGGGCGGCACGGAAACCCGATTGGAGGGTTTGTGTAGGGAGAGCGGGAGAGGAAGGAGCGGAGCCGGGAAGCAACAACTCATTCCAGGACCTTGGAAAGGAAAGGGAGGTTGGAGATGGGGCTGTTGTTTGAGGGCAGGGAAGGGTCCACAAAGGTTTTTTTAAGGATAAGAGTGATGACGGCAGTTTTTAAAGGGGTGGGAACGGTGCCAGTGGACAGGGAGACGTTTATGATGTCTGTGAGTAGGGGGGCAAGAAGGTAGAGCTGGGAGGTAAGGGATGGGGTCGAGGGTGCAGGTGGTCAGTGTCATGTGGGTTATAGTGGTGGTGAGACAGAGAGAGAGTCCGAGAGAGAGAGAGACTGAGAGATAGACTGAGAGAGAGAGACTGAAAGAGAAACTCTGACAGCGACTGAGAGAGAGGCTGAAAGAAACAAACAGAGAGAGAGAGAGAGAGAGACTGAAAGGAGAAAGATTGAAAGAGAGACCCTGACTGAGAGATTGACAGAGAGAGACTGACAAAAAAAGAGTGTGTGAGAGAGGAGGGGGGGCATCGAGCCAGATTGCGAGGGGCCGAGAAATGCTGGAAAGAAACTGTGACAATTTGACAGAGAGAGTGTGAGAGACAATATGTGAGAGAGAGTCCGAGAGAGAGGCAGACTGAGAGAGAAACTGAACGAGACAGAGAGAGAATGAGAACAGAAAAAGAGTGTGACACAGAGTGTGAAAGAGACAGACAGAAAGTGTGACAGTGAGTATGTGAGTGTGAGAGACAGACAGTGTGAGAGACAGACAGAGAGAGTGTGAGACAAACAGAGAGAGTGTGAGACAGACAGAAAGTGTGAGAGACAGACAGAGAGAGTGAGAGACAGACAGAGAGAATATGAGAAACAGACAGAGAGACTGTGAGACCGACAGAGAGTGTGAGAGACAGACATACAGTGAGAGAGTATGAGAGACAGACAGAGAGATTGAGAGTCAGCCAGAGCATGCGAGAGACAGAGAGTGCGAGACAGACAGATTGTGAGAGACAGAGAGAGAGAGTGAGACAAACAGAGAGAGTGAGAGACAGAAAGAGAGTGAGAGATAGAGAGAGAGTGAAAGACAGACAAAAAGAGAGGCAGAGAGTGAGACAGAGAGTGTGAGAGTGTGAACGACAGACTGAGAGAGTGTGAGAAATAGACAGAATGTGAGACAGACAGACAGATTGTGAGAGACAGACAGAGAGAGTGAGAGGCAGAAAGAGAGAGTGAGAGACAGAGAGAGAGCGAGAGACAGACAAAGAGAGAGGCAGACAGAGAGAGTGAGAGACAGATAGATAGTGTGAGAGACAGACAACAACAAAATGACATTTATAGAGTGCCTTTCATGTCGGGAGGACATCCCAAAGTGTTGAACAGTCAGGTGTCGGGGCCCGAGCATGGGGGAGAGGTGGTGTAGGGGTGAGGGGAGACCAAAGGCACGGTCCAAGAGAAAGGTCTTGAGACCGAGCTTGAAGGAGGTGAGGGAGGAAGTGAGGCGAAGGGTCCGTGGAATGGAGTTCCAGAGCGTGTGGGCAGAGAGGCTGAAAGCTCGGCCACTGATGGTGGGGTGTTCGGGTGGGAGACATGGAGCAGCCGGAGACCAATGAGTGGAGGGACCGGGCAGGTTGGTAGGGAGTCAGCAGGTCAGAGAGGTAGGAGGGGGTGAGGCCTTAAAAGTAAGGACGAGGTTCTCGAACTTGATCCTCTGGCGGATGGGGAGTCACTGGGGTCGAGCGAGGGTGGGAGTGAACGGCACGGGCGAGGGTGGGAGTGATGGGGACGGGGAGTCTGGTGAGAGTACACGAGCTGCAGAGATTTGGATGATCTGCAGCTTGTGAAGTTGGGAAGACCGATGAGGAGAGAGTTCCCATAATCCAACCCTGATGACTAAGTGGGTGAGGGTTTCAGCAACCTGAGGGGTGCCCGAGATGCGGAGGCGCTGGCGCGAGCCAATCAAGAGAGCCTCATGAAGGACTTGATGTTGGACAGGCAGTCGGTCAGGACCTCAGTAGTCCTGGAGTTCAGGATGGAGGCAGAGGTAGAGTTGGGTGTCATCTGCATACAAGTGGAAATTTACCCCATGTCTGCAGATGATGTCACCAAGGGGGAGCATGAAGAGAGTGAAGAGGAAGGGACTGAGGACAGAGCCCTGAGGAACACCGTACGAGACGGTGCGGGGGCTGGAGGAGAAGTCGTTTGCTGGGATGAAGTGGAGGTGGTGTGAAAGACCTGAACCAGTCAAGGACAGAACCTTGGAGGTTGAGGTGGGAGGAGAGGCGGTGGAGGAGGATTGAGTGGTCCACGGTGTCAAAGGCTGTGAGGTCGAGGAGGACGAGGAGGCAGAGGGAGCCCTGGTCACACTGGTCAGGATGTCGTTTGTGACCTTGACCAGAGCTGAGGGTAGCACGGAAACCCGATTGGAGGGGCTCATGGAGGGAGGAGAGGAAAGAGCGAATCTGGGAGCCGATGCCTCGCTCAAGGACCTTAGACAGAAAAGAGAGGTTTAAGATGGGCCGGTAGCTGGATAGCTGTGATGGGTCAACGGAAGGTTTCTTGAAGGTGGGGGTGATGATGGCTGTTTTGAGGGGGGAGGACAGGGAGAAATTGATGATATCGGTGAGTAGTGGGGCAAGGAGGTGGAGTTGGGATTTAAGGAGAGGGGTGGGGATGGGGTCCAGGGAGCAGGTGGTGAGCTTCATGGAGGATATGGTGGTGATGACAGAGGAGGAGGTGACAGGGTCAAAGGTGTGGAAGGAGGGATGGGTAGTGGTTGGAGTGTGGTGGGGGTAGGGAGGGGGTGGAAGTTGAGAGGGCAGTGGCAGCTGAGCGGATTCCCTCGATTTTGGACTCGAGGAAGTCCAGCATTTCCTCGCAGTGGGAGTCAAAGGAAAGAATCTGCGAGGTGTGGCAGGAGGGCGGAGGAGCCGGTTAGTGATGGAGAACAAGAGCCTGAGGTTGCCCTTTGCCTCCAGGATTAACCTGGAATAGAAGGACGATTTGGCTGAGGCGAGTGTGGAGCAGTGGGTTTTGATGAATTCCAGCCAGATGTGCCGGTGGACCGTTAGGCCGGATTTGAGCCAAGTGTGTTTGGCTGCCCGCACCTGGCCCTTGAGCGAGTGGAGGTGGCTGGTGAACCAGGGTGAGGATTGGAAATAGGAGACTGTTTGGGAGGGAGGGGGACAAGGACGTTGAGTGTGGTGGAGAGGGTGCTGTGGAGAAGAGTGAGCGCAGCAAGTGGGTTGGTGCAAGAGGTGGGCCAGAGGGGGAGGAGTTCAGAGGATTTCAGGGCAGCGGAGAGAGATTGTGGGGAAATCTTCTTCCATGGGTGGTAGAAGATGGTGGTAGGTTTGGAGGCAGCGGGGAGAGGGATATGGGAGTTGAGGGAGATTAACTGGTGGTCAGAGATGGTATAAATAGAGACACACACACAAACACACACATTGACACACACCTACACAGACACACAGTTACATACACAAGACAGACATGCAGACTTACACAGACACAGAGACGGACACACAAACACACGCAGACAACAACAACAAGATTGCATTTATAGAGCGCCTTTCAAGTCGGGAGGACGTCCCAAGCCGCTTGACAGTTGGGTCGGGACCCGAGGAGGGGGGAAATGGTCAGGGTGAGGGGAGGGAAGGGAGGGAGCGAGGAGGGGGTAGGGAGTCAAGAGCGGAGCTGAAGGCTGAAGGTCAAAGAGAAAGGCCTTGAGACCGGCCTTGAAGAAGGAAAGGGAGGAAGCGGCGAAGGCACCGGGGGATGGAGTTCCAGAGCCTCAGGGCTGAGAGGCTGAAGGCCACCGATGGTCGGGCGGTTGGGGCGGGGGGTGTGGAGCAGACCGGAGCCAGAGGAACGGAGGGTACGGGGGGTAGGTAGGGGGATAGTAGGTCGGAGAGGTAGGAGGGAGCGAGGCCGTGAATGGCCTTGTAGGTGAGGATGAGGATCTTGAATTCGATCCTCTGGGGGATGGGGAACCAGTGGAGGCGAGCGAGGGTGGAAGGTAGAGAGAGAATGTGAGAGACAGAGAAAGAGTGTGAGAGACAGACAGAGAGTGAGAGGCTGAGCGGGAGAGTGGGAGACAGACAGAGAATGTGAGAGCCAGAGAGAGAGAGTGAAAGACAGACAGAGAGTGTGAGAGAGACAGATTGTGAGAAATAGAGAGAGTGAGATATAGACAGAGAGTGAGAGACAGACGGAGAGAGTGTGAGAGACAAACAGTGGGATTTAGAGATAGACAGATTGTGAGAGACAGAGAGAGTGAGAGACAGTCAGAGAGAGTGAGAGACAGACAGAGTGTGAGAGACAGACACACAGATTGTGAGAGAAAGAGAAAGAGAGAGTGAGAGACAGACATAGAGAGAGACAGACAGAGGGAATGTGAGAGACAGACAGAGAGAGTGAGAGATAAGAGAATGTGAGAGAGAGAGAGAGAGAGGGAGACAGAGAGTGTGTGATAGATAGAGAGAGTGTGAGACAGAAAGATTGGGAGGAAGAGACAGAGAGTGAGAGACAGACAGAGAGAGTGTGAGACAGACAGAGAGAGTGTGAGACGGACAAGAGAGTGTGAGAGACAGACAGAGGGAGTGTGAGAGACAGACAAAGAAAGTGAGAGACAAATAGAGGGTGTGATAGACAGACCGAGTGTGAGAAACAGAGAGAGACAGACAAAGAGAATGAGTGGCAGAGCAAGAGAGTAAGAGACAGACAGAGAAAGTGAGGGACAGACAGAGAGTGTGAGAGAGACAGATTGTGAGAGACAGAGAGAGAGCGAGTGACAGACAGGGAGTGAGAGACAGACAGAGAAAGTGTGAGAGACAGCCATTGAGAATTATAGTTCAGATCTGCGTGTCAATCCATCTCTAATGAGGGAGTGATGATGAGGAAGGTGAGCATGGGGGAGATGAGGATGAGGAGGGTGAGAAGGACTGACCAGCTGAAGCTGCCGTGCAGTGATGCCCACAGACTTGTGGCCTGTGTGAGTGATGCCAGTGAACGAGCTGCGTTTCCGTTTCTCTGATGGAGGAAAGTCCCCGGTGTGAAGACGGCGTTCATCCTGTGAGAGGCGTGAGGGCACCCATAGCACTCGCTCTCATACACCTGGGGAGAGAGAGAGAGACAGTGAGAGGCAGAGAGAGAGAGAGAGAGACAGTGAGAGACAGAGAGAGAGAGAGAGAGAGAAAGAGTGAGAGGCAGAGAGAGAGCCATAGCACTCGCTCTCATACACCTGTGGCAAGAGAGAGAGAGAGACAGAGAGAGAGAGAGCCGCAGCACTCGCTCTCATACACCTGCAGAGAGAGAGAGAGTGAGAGACAGAGAGAGTGAGTGACAGAGAGAGCGAGAGAGAGAAAGCGAGTGAGAGAGAGAGGGAAAGAGAAAGAGAGAGTGAGTGACAGAGAAAGTGAGAGAGAGAGTGAGGGAGCGCCATAACACTCACTCTCATATACCTGCGGCGGAGAGAGAGAGACAGACAGAAAGAGAGAGAGAGAAAGCCACAGTACTCGCTCTCATACACCTGGGGAGAGAGAGAGAGACAGTGAGAGAGAGTGAGAGGCAGAAAGAGAGAGAGCCACAGCACTCGCTCTCATACATCTGTGGTGAGAGAGAGAGTGAGAGTCAGAGAGAGAGAGAGCCACTGCACTCGCTCTCATACACCTCCGGCGAGAGAGAGAGAGACAGAGAGAGACAGCCATAGCACTCGCTCTCATACACCTGCGGAGAGAGAGAGAGAGAGACAGAGAGAGAGAGAGAGAGAGAGAGCCATAGCACTTGCTCTCATACACCTCCGGCGAGAGAGAGAGAGACAGAGAGAGACAGAGAGACAGGGAGAGAGAGAGAGTGAGAGACAGAGAGAGAGACAGAGAGAGAGACAGAGAGAGTGAGTGACAGAGAGAAAGAGAGAGAGTGAGTGACAGAGAGAGTGAGAGAGAGACAGAGAGAGTGAGAGACAGAGAGAGAAAGTGAGAGAGAGAGAGAGGGAGAGAGGGAGAGCCATAACACTCACTCTCATATACCTGCGGCGAGAGAGAGAGAGAGACAGAGAGAGAGAGAGTGAGAGACAGAGAGAGAGAGAGCGAGTGAGACACAGAGAGAGAGAGAGAGTGAGAGAGCCATAACACTCGCTTTCATACACCAGGGGAGAATGAGTGTGAGAGAGAGAGAGAGAGAGAGAGAGAGACATATAGAGAGAGAAAGAGAAATAGAGAGAGAGTGAGAGACTGAGAGAGAGGGGGAGACAGAGTGAGAGACAGAGAGACAGTGAGAGAGACAGCCATAGCACTCGCTCTCATGCACCTGAGGAGAGAGAGAGAAAGACAGAGAGAGAGACAGACAGAGAGTGTGAGAGACATATGACCATAAGAATTAGGAGCAGGAGTCGGCCATTCGGCCCCTCGAGCCTGTGCCCCGCCATTCTGTGGAGTCCTGTAGCTCAGTGGTTAGAGCACTCGCTTTGCAAGTTAGAGACCTGAGTTCAATTCCAGGCAGAGGGCCAAACCTCGGGCAAGTTTCCTTACTCCACACAGAGCCTAATAATAATCCTCCAAAACAATACAATAATAAATTGGTCATTTTCAATCCACGACTGTTTGTGGGACATTGCTGTGCGCAATTGGCTGCTGCGTTCGCCCACAAATATACAGTCAATTCACTTTACAGTGTGTTCTGTGAAGCGCTTTGGGACGTCCTCCCGACGTGAAAAACGCTATATCAAATGCCAGGATTATTATTATTATTATTATTCGATAAGATCGTGGCTGATCTTCAGACCTAACTCTGATTACCCGCCCTATCCCCATAAAGTCACTACCCTCTGAGTGAAGAAATGTTTCCTCAACTCTGTTCTAAAAGGCTGACCCTTAATTTTCAGACTGTGACCTCTGGTTATAGATTCTCCCACCGGGGAAACAGACCCTCAGTGTCTACTTTATCAGCTCTTTAAGAATTATATGTTTCAATAAGATCCCCCCTAATTCTTCTGTACTCTATAGAGAATACAGCCCTCGTTTATTCAGCCTCTCCTCATAGGTCAGTCCCCTCATCCCAGGAACTAACTGAGTGAATCTACGCTGCACCCCCTCGAGGGCAAGTATGTCCTTTTTAAATAAGGAAACCAAACCTGCACACAATACTCTCAGTGCGGTCTCACCAAAGCCCAAAGAGACAGAGACAGAGAGAGAAAGAGAGAGGGAGTGAGACACAGAGAGAGAGAGCCACAGCACTCGCTCTCATACACCTGGGGAGAGAGAGAGAGAGAGAGAGAGAGACAGAGAGAGAGAGAGCGCGAGTGAGAGCGAGTGAGTGACAGTGAGAGTGAGAGACAGAGAGAGTGAGAGAGCGAGTGAGTAACAGAGAGAGAGTGAGAGGCAGAGAGAGAGGGAATGAGAGACAGAGAGAGAGAGAGAGAGAGAGCCACAGCACTCGCTCTCATACACCTGCGGAGGGGGAGAGAGAGAGTGAGAGACTGAGAGAGGGAGTGAGAAACACACAGAGAGAGAGAAAGAGTGAGAGACAGAAAGAGAGAGAGCGAGTGAGAGACAGAGAGAGAGAAAGATTGAGAGAGAGAGAGCCACAGAGAGTAAGTGACAGACAGAGAGCGTGAGAGACACAGAGAGAGAGAGAGAGAGTGAGAGACAGAGAGAGAGTGAGAGAGAGAGACTGAGAGAGAGAGAGACAGAGACAGAGAGAGAGAGAGAGGGAGTGAGACACAGAGAGAGAGAGCCATAGCACTCGCTCTCATACACCTGGGAAGAGAGAGAGACAGAGAGAGAAAGAGACAGAGAGACAGAGAGTGAGAGACAGAGAGTGAGAGCCAGAGAGAGAGCCATAGTACTCACTCTCATACACCTGTGGAGGGGGAGAGAGAGAGACAGAGAGAGAGTGAGACAGAGAGAGAGAGCGAGTGAGTGACAGAGAGAGTGGGAGACAGAGAGAGAGAGCGAGTGAGAGACAGAGAGAGAGAGAGTGAGTGACAGACTGAGAGAGAGTGAGAAAGAGACAGAGACAGAGAGAGAGAGACAGAGAGAGAGAGAGCCACAGCACTCGCTCTCATACACCTGGGGAGAGAGGGAGAGACAGAGAGAGAGAGAAAGAGAGAGAGCGCGAGTGAGAGCGAGTGAGTGAGAGTGAGAGACAGAGAGAGTGAGAGCCATTGCACTTGCTTTCATACACCTGCGGAGGGAGAGAGACAGAGAGAGAACGAGAGACAGAGAGAGAGAACAAGTGAGTGACAGAGAGAGAGTGAGAGAGTGTGAGACAGAGACAGAGAGTGAGAGACAGAGAGAGCCATAGCACTTGCTCTCATACACCTGGGGAGAGAGAGCAAGAGAGACAGAGAGAGAGTGAGAGATTGTGTGTATGAGAGAGAGATAGTGAAAGGTGGGGTGGGAACTGAACCCTAAAAACAGCCGCCATTACCCCAATCCTGAAAAAACCTTCCCTGGACCCCTCTCCCTCCTCTCCAGCTCCCTCCCCATCTCTAACCTCCCATTCCTCTCCAAGGTCCTGGAATGAGTCATTGCGTCCCGGCTCCGCTCCTTTCTCTCTCGCTATTCCCTCTTTAAACCTCTCCAATCCGGCTCCGCGCTGCCCACAGCCCGGAAACAGCCCTGGGGGTCACAGTCACTAATGACATTCTGACCATCTGTGATCAGGGCTCCCTCTGCCTCTCTGTCCTCCTTGACCTCTCTGTCGCCTTCGACACTGTCGACCACTCCACCCTCATATACCGCCTCTCCTCTTTACTTCATAATAATAATAATCCTTGCATTTGAAAAGCGCTATATCAAATGCAAGGATTATTTTATTATTATTATTATCTTCACTGACCTGCCCTTGTCTGGTTTGATTCCTATCTCTCTCACCGTCTCCGCTTTGTTGCCTCCAATGGTTTCTCCTCCACCCCCCGCACTGTCACGTCTGCCGTCCCCCAGGGCTCGGTCCTTGTCTCCTCTTTAATATCTATATGCTCCCCCTCGGGGACATCATCCACAGACATGGGGTCAACTTCCACATGTGTGCGGATGGCACCAATTCTCTCTTTCTGCCTCCACCCTCGACTCCAGGGCCACTGCTGTCCTGACAGACTGTCTGTCGGACACCAAGTCCTGGCTGAGGGCAAATTTCCTACAGTTGAATGTGATTAAGACTAAGGCTCTCCTGATTGACTCGCACCAGCGCCTCCGCACCTCAGGCTCTGGCAGCATCAACCTCCATGGATGCCCACTGCAACTCACCAACTCATCGCCAGTCAGGAACCTGGGGGTCTTGTTCGACCTCAACTGTCTTTTCTCCCCCACATCAAAGCCATGACCCGCTCTGCCTTCCCTCACCTCCGTAACATCACCAGACTCCGCCACTACCTCTCCCCTCAGGCACTGAAACTCTTGTTCATGCCTTCATCACCTCCAGACTCGACTATGCAAATGCCTGCGTGTCGGCCTTCCCAACTCCTCCCTCCACAGCTGCAGATAATCCAGAGCTCTGCAGCCCGTGTCCTCTCCAGCACCAAACTCCATGACCCCATCTCCCTCATTCTTGCCCGACTCCATTGGCTCCCTATCCTTCAAAGGATCCAGTTCAAGATCCTACAAAGCCCTCCATGGCCTCGACCCACCCCACCCGTGACCTCCTAACCCCCTACCAACCCATCCGCTCCCTCCGCTCAGCCGGCTCTGACCTGCTCCACGTCCCCCGACCCACCCGCCCCACCATTGGTGGGAGAGGCTTCAGCCACTCTGCCCCAACCTCTGGAATTCCATCCCCGAATCACTCCGTCTCACACCAACCTTAGTCTCCTTCAAGTTCCACCTCAAAACCCTCCTCTTCGACCATCCCATCGGTCACCCCCCTTCCCCTCCCCTCCCTTCTCCCCCCCTGACCCCAGCTCGGGTCTAAAATGCTGTCACTGTCCAGCGCCTTGGGATGTCCTCTTGACGTGAAAGGCACTATACACATGTAATTTTCTTGCTGTTGTTGTTGTTGAAAGAGTGTGTATGAGAGAGGGAGAATGTTTTTGAGGGAGAAAGAGTGTGTGTGTGAGAGAGGGAATGTGTGTGTGAAAGAGTGTGCGTGTGAGAGTGTGTGTGAGTGTGTGTGTGTGAATGTATGTGTGAGAGTGTGTGTGTATGTGTGTGTGTGAGAGTGCGTTTGTGTGTGTGTGAGGGAGAACTTTTTTGTGGGAGAAAAGGTGTGCGTGTGTGTGTGAGTGTGTGTGAGAGATTGTGTGTGAGATTGTGTGTGAGAGTGTGTGTGTTTGAGTATGTGAGTGTGTGTGTGAGATAGAGTGTGTGTGGGAGAGTATGTGAGAGAGAGTGTGTGAGAGAAAGTGTGTGTGTGTGAGTGTGTGTGTGAGATAGAGTGTGTGTGTGAGATAGAGTGTGTGTGGGAGAGTGTGTGAGAGAGTGTGTGTGTGTGTGAGAGCGAGAGTGTGAGTGTGTGAGAGCGAGTGTGTGTGTGAGTGTGAGAGAATGTGTGTGAGTGTGTTTGTGTGAGAGTGTGTGTGTGAGAGTGTGTGAGAGTGTGTGTGAGAGAGTGTGTGTGAGAGAGTGTGTGTGAGATACTGTGTATGAGAGGGAGAGTATTTTTGAGGGAATGAATGTGTGTGAGAGAGAGTGTGTGTGAGAAACAGATTGATTATTATTGTGAGAGCGAGTGAGCGAAAGCATGTGTGAGACAGAGAGAGAGAGTAAGATTCCTCTCTCAAACACCCGGGGAAGAGTGTGAGAGTGTGTGAGAGAGACATCTCTCTGCGTGAGTGGGGGAGAGAGAAATAATGAGAGAGAGTGACAGTGTGAGAGAGATAAAGAGAGGGAGTGTCAGAGAGAGGGAGTGTGAGATAGAGTGTGTCAGAGAGAGGGGGGGAGTGTGAGAGATTGAGAGAGAGTGTGAGAGAGGAAATGTAAGAGAGAGAGGTGGAGAGAGAGAGAGGGATGACCTGGAGAGCCTTGGTTTGCAGCTGGAGGATGAGGTTCCTGATGTTGGTGAAGAGGAAAGGCCAGGAGTTGATGAGGTAGATCCTGTCCATCATGACCACAATGATGCTGTACCAGCGCTGGAACCCCCTGGCCAGACTGTCCTTGATGAAGAAGGTGTGACTGAACACAAAGCCGTGCTGCTCATCCCCAAAAAAGATGGGACCTTCCCTTCCTGGGCAAACCTGCAAAAACAAGCCATCTCCTCATTAGCCATCTCCCACCCCCCTCCCCTCTCCCTGCCCCCCCTCCACCCCTCGCCCCCCCTCCCTGCCCCCCCCTTCCCTCCCCGCCCCACCTCCCCCTCCCTCCCCGCCCCACCTCCCCCTCCCTCCCCGCCCCACCTCCCCCTCCCTCCCCCACCCTCCCCGCCCCACCTCCCCCTCCCTCCCCCAACCCCCTCCCTCCCCGCCCCACCTCCCCCTCCCTCCCCGCCCCACCCCCCCTCCCTCCCCCCCTCCCCGCCCCACCTCCCCCCCCGCCCCCTCCCTGCCCTCCCAGCCGCCCCCCCCTCCCCCCGCCCTACTCCCTGCCCTCCCCCCGGCCCCACTCCCTGCCCTCCCTCCCGCTCCCTCCCCTCCCTCCCCAAGCCATCACCTCACTCCACCAGCCTCCATCCAGCAACACTTGAGTGTTGGGGATGGAGTGAGTGTGAGAGGGAGAGGGAGAGACTTACCTCACAGCTCAGGCTCCTCACACAGGCCTGACGGACCACAGTGAACAGCTGCGGGTGGGTCGGGTGTTGATGGCTGATATAATGGATCGAGGTCTCGGGATCGGAACTCACATATCCTGGATGTCCACATTCAAATGAACGGCAACCCTGAGAGTGACAGTGTGAGAGAGAGAGAGAGAGAGTGACAGTGAGAGAGTGAGAGAGAGTGTGAGAGAGAGAGAGAGAGAGAGTGAGAGAGAGAGAGAGTGAGAGAGTGAGAGAGAGTGTGAGAGAGAGAGTGTGAGAGAGAGAGAGTGAGAGAGAGAGAGTGAGAGTGTGAGAGAGAGAGTGAGAGAGAGTGAGTGTGAGAGAGTGAGTGAGTGAGTGTGTGAGTGTGTTTATGTGAGTGTGAGAATGTGAGTGTGTGAGAATGTGAGTGTGAGTTTGTGAGATAGTGTGTGTGAGACTGAGTTTGTGAGTGTGAGTGTGAGAGTAAGTGCGTGACAGTGAGTGTGAAAGTGTGTGAGATTGTGAGTGTGTGAGAGAATGTCTAAGTGTGTGAGAGTGAGAGAGTGAGTGTGTGAGTGTGTGTGTGCGAGAGAGTGTGTGGGAGAGAGTGGGAGTGTGTGAGAGTGTGAGAGACTGAGAGTTTGTGTGTGTGTGTGAAAGAGTGTGAGAAACTGAGTGTGTGAGAGTGTTAGAGTGTGTGTGATTGTGAGATTGTGAGAGTGAGAAACTGAGAGTGTGTGTGTTAGAGTGTGTGAGATTGTGAGTGTGTGAGTGTGAGACTGAGTGTGTACGAGTGTTTGAGAGTGTGTGAGTGTGAGAGAGAGTGAGTGTATGAGAGTGTGAGTGAGAGAGAGTGTGAGAGTGTGTGAGTGTGAGTTTGTGAGAGTGTGAGAGTGTGTGAGAGAGTCCGAGCGACGGTGAGTGTGTGTGAGTGTGAGAGTGTGAGTGTGCGAGTGTGAAAGTGTGTGAGAGATTGTGAGTGTGTGAGAGAATGTCTAAGTGTGTGAGAGTGAGAGAGCGAGAGACTGAGAGTGTGAGTGCGAGTGTGTGGGGGAGTGTGAGAGACTCAGAGTTTGTGAGTGTGAGTGTGAAAGAGTGGGGGAAACTGAATATGTGTGTTAGAGAGTGTGTGAGATTGTGAGTGTGAGAGTGAGTGTGAGAAACTGAAAGTGTGTGAGTGTTAGAGTGTGTGAGATTGTGAGTGTGAGTGTGTGTGTGTGAGAGACTGAGTGTGTAAGAGTGTTTGAGAGAGTGTGAGTATGAGAGAGTGAGTGTAGGAGAGAGAGTGTGAGTGAGAGAGAGTGGGAGAGTGTGAGTTTGTCAGAGTGAGTGTGTGAGAGTGTGTGTGTGTGAGAGTGCGCGAGTGTGTGAGAGTGTGTGAGATTGTGATAGTGTGTGTAAGAGTGTGAGAGTGTGAGAGTGTGTGAGTGTGGGGGAGAGTGTGCGTGAGTGTGTGTGAGAGGGTGAGTGTGTGGGTGTGAAAAAGTGTGAATGAGAGGGTGAAAGTGTGAGAGTTTATGTGTGAGAGTGTGTGAGAGGGTGTGTGTGAGTGTGTAAGTATGTGAGAGTGTGTGAGTGAGATAGTTTATGTGAGTGTGTGAGCGTGTGTGTGTGAGAATGTGTGAGTGTGTGTGAAAAAGTGTGTGAGGGTGAGACTGAGTGTGTGTGAGTGAGAGTGTGTGTGTGTGAGAGTGTATGTGTGTCAGTGTGAGAGTGTTGAGTGTGTGAGAAAGAGTAAGACAGGGTTTGATAGTGTGAGTGTGTGAGTGTGTGAGAGAGTGTGTGTGTGTGTGTGTGAGAAAGTGTGAGTGTGTGAGAGACTGAGTGTGAGTGTGTGACTGTGATAGTGTGCATGAGTGTGAGTGTAAGTGTGTGAGTATGAGTGTGAGTGAGTGTGAGAGTGATAGATTGAGTGTGTGAGTTTGTGAGAGTGTGTGAGTGAGAGACAGTGTGAAAGGGTGAGAGAGTGTGTGTGAGTGTGTCAGTGTGAGAGTGTGTGTGTGTGAGAAAGAGTGAGAGGGTGTGAGTGTGTGTGAGAGTGAGTGATAGATTGTGAGTGTGTGAGAGTGTGTGACTGTGAGTGTGTGTGAGTGTGTGAGAAAGAGTGTGAGGGAGTGTGTGAGAGACTGTGAGAGTGTGTGAGTGTGAGTGTGTGAGAGTGTGTGTGAGAAAGAGTGTGAGGGAGTGTGTGTGTGTGTGAGAGAGACTGTGAGTGTGTGAGAGTGTGTGACTGTGAGTGTGAGTGTGTGAGGGAGTGTGTAAATGTGAGTGTGAGAGTGTGTGAGTGTGAGAGTGTGAATGTCTGAGTGTGAGTGCGCGAGTGCGAGTGTGTGAGATTGTGATAGTGAGAGTGTGAGAGTGAGTGTGAGAGTGTGAGTGTGAGAGTGTGGGGGAGTGTGTGTGAGAGGGTGAGTGTGTGTGTGAAAAAGTGTGAGTGAGAGGGTGAAAGTGTGTGAGAGTTTATGTGTGAGAGTGTGTGAGGGAGTGTGTGAGTGTGTAAGTGTGTGAGAATGTGTGTGAGTGTGAGAGAGTGTGAGTGTGAGAGAGTGAGTGTGTGAGTGTGAGATAGTTTATGTGAGTGTGTGAGAGCGTGTGTGTGAGAATGTGTGAGTGTGAAAAAGTGTGTGAGGGTGAGACTGAGTGTGTGTGAGAGTGTGTGAGTGAGAGTGTGTGAGTGTGAGAGTGTGTTGAGTGTGTGAGAAAAAGTAAGATGGTTTGATAGTGTGTGAGAGTGTGTGTGTGAGAGAGAGCGTGTGTGAGTGTGTGTGAGAGTGTGAGTGTGTGAGAGACTGAGTGTGAGTGTGTGACTGTGATAGTGTGTGCGAGTGTGAGTGTAAGTGTGTGAGTGCGTATGAGTGTGTGAGAGTGAGAGTGATAGACTGTGAGTGTGTGAGTTTATGAGAGTGTGTGAGAGTGAGACAGTGTGAGAGTGAGACAGTGTGTGTGTGAGAAAGAGTGAGAGGGTGTGAGAGTGTGTGACTGTGATAGTGTGAGTGTGAGTGTGTGTGAGAGTGAGCGATAGATTGTGAGTGTGCGTTTGTGAGAGTGAGATTGTGAGTGTGTATGTGTGTGAGAAAGAGTGAGTGTATGAGTGTGAGTGTGAGATTGCGTGAGTGTGTGAGAGACTGTGTGAGTGTGAAAGAGTGTGTGAGAGTGTGTGAGAGAGTGAGAGGGTGTGAGAGACTGAGAGTCTGTGAGTTTGTGAGTGTGAGAGAGTGTGAGTGTGTGTTTGAGTGTGAGTGTATGTGAGTGTGTGTGAGAGTGAGTGTGTGAGTGTGACTGTGAGAGTGTGCGTGAGTGTGAGTGTGTGAGTGCGTGAGTGTGTGTGAGTGAGTGTGAGAGTGATAGATTGTAAGTGTGTGTTTGTGAGAATGTGTGACAGAGTGTGAGTGTGTGAGAGCGATTGTGAGTGTGAGAGTGTGAGTATGAGAAAGAGTGTGAGGGAGTGTGAGCGTGTGTGAGAGAGACTGTGAGAGTGTGTGAGTGTGTGACTATGAGTGTGTGTGAGTGTGAGAGTGTGTGAGAGTGTGAGAAAGAGTGAGGGAGTGTGTGAGAGAGACTGTGAGAGTGTGTGACTGAGTGTGTGTGAGTGTGAGAGTGTGTGAGAAAGTGTGAGGGAGTGTGTGAGAGTGTGAGAGAGACTGTGAGTGTGTGACTGAGAGTGTGTGTGACTGAGAGTGTGTGAGAGTGTGTGTGTGAGTGTGTGAGTGTGTGAATGAGTGTGTGTGAGAGTGATAGACTGTAAGTGTGTGAGTTTGTGAGAATGTGTGACAGAGTGTGTGTGAGCGCGATTGTGAGTGTGAGAGAGTATGAGGGAGTGTGTGAGTGAGACTGAGTGTGTGAGAAAGAGTGTGAGGGAGTGTGTGAGAGACTATGAGAGTGTGTGAGTGTGAGTGTGTGAGAGTGTGTGTGTGAGAAAGAGTGTGAGAAAGTGTGAGGAGTGTATGAGTGTGTGAGAGAGACTGTGAGAGTGTGTGAGAGTGTGTGACTGTGAGTGTGTGTGTGTGTGTGTGTGCGTGAGTGTGAGATTGTGTGAGAGTGAGTGTGACAGACTGTGTGTGTGTTTGTGAGAATGTGCGAGTGTGAGTGTGTGAGAGTGTGTGAGTGTGTGACTGTGAGAGTGTGTGAGTGTGAAAGAGTGTGTGTGAGTGTGTGAGGAGAAAGAGAGAGGGTGTGAGAGTGTGAGAGTGTGTAAGAGTGTGAGAGAGTGTGGGAGAGTGTGTGAGAGGATGAGAGTGTGAGAGACTGAGTATGTGAGAGTGTGTGAGTGAGAGAGTGTGTGAGAGTGTGTGAGACTGAGTGTGAGAGTGTGTGACTGTGAGAGTGTGTGTGAGTGTGAGAAAGTGTGAGAAAGTGTGAGGGAGTGTGTGAGAGTGTGAGAGAGACTGTGAGTGTGTGACTGAGAGTGTGTGTGACTGAGTGTGTGAGAGTGTGTGTGTGAGTGTGTGAGAGTGATAGACTGTAAGTGTGTGAGTTTGTGAGAATGTGTGACAGAGTGTGTGTGAGAGCGATTGTGAGTGTGAGAGTGTGAGTGTGTTTGTGTGAGAGTGTGTGAGAAAGTGTGAGGAGTGTATGAGTGTGTGAGAGAGACTGTGAGAGTGTGTGAGAGTGTGTGACTGTGAGTGTGTGTGTGTGTGCGTGAGTGTGAGATTGTGTGAGAGTGAGTGTAACAGACTGTGTGTGTTTGTGAGAATGTGCGAGTGTGTGTGTGTGAGAGTGTGTGACTGTGAGAGTGTGTGAGTGTGAAAGAGTGTGTGTGAGTGTGTGAGGAGAAAGAGAGGGTGTGAGAGTGTGTAAGAGTGTGAGAGAGAGTGGGAGAGTGTGTGAGAGGATGAGAGTGTGAGAGACTGAGTATGTGAGAGTGTGTGAGTGAGAGAGTGTGTGAGAGTGTGTGAGTCAGAGTGTGAGAGAGTGAGAGAATGTGTGAGAGAGTGAGAGAGAGAGTGAGAGAGTGACAGAGAGTGTGAGAGAGAGAGAGTGAGAGAGAGAGTGAGAGTGTGAGAGAGAGAGTGTGTGAGAGTGAGTGTGAGAGAGACAGTGTGAGAGAGTGAGAGAGAGTGTGTGACAGAGTGTGAGAGTGAGAGACTGAGAGTGAGTGTGTGAGTGTGTGCGTGCGAGAGTGTGTGTGGGAGAGAGTGGGAGAGTGTGTGAGTGTGAGA